TTAGGGTCAGATGAACTGCATTTGTGCCAGCTTGCCCTCTTTCACCATGCGTGGACTCCTCCTAGGGCCTGTCCCACCATGCATGACCAGCTGAACTGCACTTCTGCCTGTTTACCGCTCACCCCTAAAGATAGGTCTTCTGTTGGCTTCTAAGTTTTTCCCTTTTCTTTTCTCTTGGTTCTTGAATACACAGTTTTAAACAAACAAAACAGGTATTGTCTTTGACAGTGTTAAACTAACCTTTACATTTAAATTTCTAATATTTATCCCCAAATTTTAGCCTAGGGAACTCAATCCCAAACAGCCAATGCATTTTTGTTCAGCCAGATAACATGATTATGGTGTAAACAAAATACCCGATTTTCTAATTTTTCAAGTTAAAGAATCCTTAAAAAGCCATTTAAAACAATGTGAAGATTCTTTAAAATTTTTGGTAATGTCCAAACCTCATAACCTTTTGCATTTTAAACTTAAATTCACCCAATTGTTACAGCATGCTGACAATTTTTATCTTGATCACACTCATACAAAACACTCACACAGATCTTAAAAGTGCACAAAAATCAAAATCAGTTGTAAGTACATTTTTTAAACAAAAATTAAGACAATAAATTCAGCCTGAGGCTTGAAGGGGCCCAAACTAGTCCAGCAACCTTCTGTTCCTCACATGGAGGGGGCCATAGCAGGTCATGATCAAGCCTAGCTGGAGGCTGTAACATTTATTCCCCCAGATGTTCAAATAAATAACAAAACACAAATAAACACAAAAACAAAGGATCCACATTTAAAACTGGTACCAATTCTAAAACAGGACAAGACAAGAACCAAAGGCTGAGTTGGAGACTAATGGGACCCAGTTTATCCCTACCGGAACTCTGCTGCTCCCACTCAGCAAGCTGAATCCAGAGTCTGCTGAATGAGCCTGCCATGCTCACCCAGAACTTCCCTACCTCTGGAAACAAAGAACAGAAAACACACTAAACTAAACAAGACAGACAAGTGGCCACAAAGACAAAATCAGTTCTCAGTGAATGGGGCGACATCACCACCATTCACTTACCAGAGGACTCGAATGACCCCCCCCCCCCCCCCACTCACCTCCAGAGGATTTTTCTTTTAGATTCCTGCAAACGTTGACCTAGGGGCCTTCCAAGACAGAGGAGAATTCCCAGTCATCTTGGGGCAAGCGAAAAAAGTCCCTAGAGGCCGTCCCTTCAGATTGACAGGTTCTTCCCCATGCTCAGACCCCCTGAGCCAAGGCCTGAGGCTGAGATCTAACTGGGGCCACTTGCAGGTGGTCAGTGGCAGTTTATAAAAGCAGAACCAGCAGTTTTTGTTTTTGTTTTTAAATGAACTAGGACAAGGTCTAGGGGTGTCCCGGGAGTGGACTCACTTTGCCCCATATTTTTTCTGTAAACTAAATCCAATTACAAACATGGCAAGCAAAAGCAAAAGCACAATGAGACACGACAGACACGATTATACACAGAACGAGGAGGGATCCCTAAACCAAAGGTTACTTTTTTCTCAACCTATTTTCTCCACAAGCAAGCCCCCATCCAACTAGGACTGCTAGGACTGGTGGAATTGAGGGGTCCAGGCGTCCTTGGAGCTCCTCAGCCGTAGGGGACTCTGCTGTGTCCAGCTTCACCCTATTTTTGGCCTCACTCTGGCATCTTCTCTACCTAGTTCGACCGTGCTTACCTTGAGGCTTTTCTCGGAACTCCTCTCCAACAGCCAAGTGCCCACACACTGTCCTCTCAGCTGGGGATCCCAGTCCCCCTCAGGTTGGAGCGGCTAAGAGCTCTATCCCGGACGAGCCCCCATTAAATGTAGTAGGAAGACCCTTACTCAGGCAGGCAAGCCCACCTAGTCGTCTGGAGTGACAGAGCCCACCGCAACAAAGTTGTTAATAAAGAAGCAACTTTATTGAGAAGGTTCCTACACTGACCAGCCAGGGCCAAAGCACAGGCTTGGTAGCTGTGACCCCGAGTGGCCCACAAACTTAGGTTTTTAAAGGCAAAATTCACAAGGTCAAGCCTGGTCATACAAGTGACCAATGAGATTGTCACATACCCAAAAGATTGCACAGTCATACTAGACTACACACAGGTGGCCAATGAGGTTACACTTTGTCACATAATGGCTGTCTAAACCAGCCTATCACTTTTGATTTAAATGACTCACAAATTCAACGGTAAGGCGGAGCTTATGGTAAGCATACACAAAGGAGTTTAGTGGAATTTAACAGAAGCCTATGAAAAAGGCGGAGTTTATGGTAAGCTTGTGATGTTGCCAGTATGAGCCAGATTACTGGCTGTTTAATTGGTCAGTCCTTAACAGAACAATGAAGGTGGGTTAAGTTGTTAAGGGGAGGGGGACCTAGAGGCATTCTTTCCATTCCAAGAACTGGGCTGGTTGGTGCCAAGGTCGAATTAATCTGGTTTAGAGTTTTGTTTTTTTTTTGTTAAAATCCCTAAAACAAAGGCAAAGCCTGGAAAGAAGCTGTACCAGCTGGAGTCTCCTCTCAGGGCCTACTTCAGGAGTCATATCAAAATCTGCCTTCTTCTTTGAAATAATAAAAATCTGAGAACTTTTCAAGGATGAGTAAAAGCAGAAAGAAAAGAATATCTGTCAAAAGGCAATTCTAGATATTATCACTCATCTTACCCATGGAGTTGCCAGGTCATGGGAACTTGCCCAGCTCAAAAGGTACAAAGGTTACAGATAGGAGCTGCCATTTTGAGTCTTTAATTGCACAGGGAGCAGGAAATGTTTCTTTCTCCCTGCCCGTAACTCTGTTATACTAAAATAAATAAATAAATCCTTGCTAAAACTTTCTCCTCCTGAGACTCTCCTTTTGTAGACACTGAAATGTTTTTCATGAGTGGATCTCAAGGGCCTGTTGAAACACAGGGCCTGGGAGCTGTCCCTGAGCCACCAGAGCTTTATCATTTGTGCCACAGCTTCACTTCTGGCCATTTTGGGGGAGGATGGTAGTTTATTGGCAATAGTTTCATGGATTCCTGCCCCGGCTGGCTTTGAACCTTAATCCTCAGATCTCAGCCTCCTGAGCAGCTAGAATTACAGGCATGAGGTGCCCATGCCTGGACCTATCCGCCGTTTTTAAGTTGGTGCCATTAAAGACTGCTCTACAGAAGTGTGCCCAACTACACATGGGATGCTAAGTCTCTCCAATATGAATATGCATAAATCTCCCCCAATAAAGTTCTTTTGCTTTCTATGTTTGTAGAGACTCTGCTTTGGGATCCTTTCTTTTTTCTTTCTTTCTTTCTTTTTTTTTTTTTGTTGGTCGTGGGGCTTGAACTCTGGGCCTGGGAGCTGTCCCTCAGCTCTTCAGCTTAAAGCTCTACCGCTTGAGCCACAGCGCCACTTCTGGTTTTCGAGTGGTTTATTGGAGATCAGAGTCTCAGGGACTTTCCTGCTCGGGTTGGCTTTGAACCGCGATCCTCAAATCTCAGCCTCCTGAGTAGCTAGGATTACAGGCATGAGCCACCGGCGCCAGCTTTTTTTTTTTTTTGCCTGTCCTGGGGTTGAGCTCAGGGTCTGGGCACTGTCCCTGAGCTTCTTTTGCCCAAAGCTAGCATTCTATCACTTGAGCCACAGAGCTACTTCCTGCTTTTTCTATGGTACTGAAGAATTGAATACCGGGCTTCATGCATGCTAGACAAGCACTCTGCCATGAAGCCCCATTCCTAGCCCTTTGGGAGTTATTTCTACGCTCTCCTTACCTATAAGTCAAACCAGCGTTCAGTCTCCCATCTAGTCGTGTTTAGTAATTTCAGACTCACCCGGGGGCAAGCCCATTGTTCGGTTACAATCCTTTCTGTTTTGTCAGTAAAACCCTTTAAGTACAAGCTTTAAAAAAGAGGGTAATGAAACAATTTCGTGTAAGGGTTTCCTATTGGATATCCAGCAATTTCGTCTTTATGAGGTTGGATACAGAGTAATAACTTACTATCACTTGAAACCACTTAGCTAGGTTGTTCACAGGGATGAGGCCAGCTGGTTTGGGAAACCTGTGCACGTTCTTTTGAGTGAAAAGGAGTGGGACTGATATTGCATTTTCAGATTGGTACAGGCCACCTGCCCACGCGGATTTCCCTGTAGGTGTCCTGGGCTCTCAGGATGCGAACCTACCCCTCTAGGACGGCCTCAGTGCTTTACCTCCAAGGGTACTGGAAGACCCAGCAGGGAGGCGGAGGAAGATTCGCACCGCAGGCCTGGCAGGGCCAGGGCTAGGTACCAATTCACCAGTGTCATCTCCATCACCCCCTCACCTAGCCAGCCGCGCGAAGACCCTGCTTCGATAATAGAGAACAGGGAGGGGACTCCGGCCTCTAAGCACAAGTAGACACCGCTCATGATTCTCACAGCACCTCGCTGCGCCTCTCCGCGGGGGGGGGGGTCTGGGCGGCCCGAAATGGCGGTGGCGCCGGGGTCCCACGGTCACACTCCGAGGCGCCCTTGACTAGCCTTCACCGCCGTGTCACCTACCTTGCTACTAGGTGAGCCGGCGCAGGCGCATAAGGGCGGGAGTGAGCAGTGACGAGCACTTGGCGCCACCAATGAGAGCCGGAGTATTCCAGCCGCGCCCAATCAGAGCCTGGGCGGCGAAGACTGGGGTAGGTTGCGGACGGGCGGCGCGAGTGGCGGACGCGGAACGCTCAAGACCTTGCCTGCTGCCGGCCCGAGCTGCCCGTCCGGCTGTCCCCGCGTGCTCCGCAGCACGGTTCTCGGGCCCTGCTGGACACGCGGAGGGGCAGCCGAGCTGAACCCAGGAGCGCCTGGTGCAGCGGCTCTCTCGCCAAGAGGGGACTGACTTCATCAGCCGTTGCTGCAGAGACATGAGGGGCGGCTCCTGGCTTCGGGACCGTGAGACGGACTCGCGGAGAGCCATCTAGGCGCAGACTCCACCGACGGCGGCCCGCGTCCTCCCGGGGTCCGCGGAGGGCTCGCGGGAGGGCTCAGGAGACCTGCGGCGGGCGGGCGCGTGGACACAGCATGTTCCCGCGGAGGCCTCCGGCCGCCCTGGCCGCCTGGCTGGCGGGGACGCGGGGCGGGGGCCTGCTCGCTCTCTTGGCCAATCAGTGCCGCTTCGTGACGGGCTTGCGCGTGCGGCGCGCGCACCAGATCGCCCAGCTCTACGGTCGCCTGTATTCCGAGAGCTCGCGCTGCGTCCTGCTCGGACGCCTGTGGCGCCGGCTGCGTGGACGCCCTGGCCATGCCTCTGCCTTGATGGCGGCGCTTGCTGGTGTCTTCGTGTGGGATGAGGAGAGGATCCAGGAGGAGGAGTTGCAGAGGTAAGCACTGCGGCATGGGGTGGGGTCCAGCCAGGGAGGGGGTCCCGTGTGAGCCGTGGGGCCTGCCCTATGGCCCTTTAAGTGTTAATGCAGTAGATTGAAACTGTTTTTAGCAGTCCAGGGGAGGTGTGTTCATCCGAATTTTTTTTTTTTTTTCTGGTTTGATGTAACTGCTTGTGAAGTAGTCTGGCAGCGTGGGGAGACTTGGGCTGTGTAGGACCACACTAAAGAAACATTGTAAAAATGACTACGGTATGGAGATCTTTGATCCTCGTAATCTGTAGCAAATCCCCCAAAGTGCAGATTTAAAATGGGGTTTAACCTTAACCTAAAGCTGTCATTCTTCAAAATGATTGCAATCCATATGGAACTCAGGCTCGGGAGGAATGCCCAGATAAATCTCCGTCATTGTGACTTGCGTCTTGGCAGAATTAGGAAGCTGAGGGATTTGCCCCTGCTTGCACAAACCAGTAGTGCAGACATTTTAATTTGTACGGATTATGTCAGTCCTTTGACACTTTATAACTAATACTATCATTGGGCCCTTGAGTCACACTCATTACTACTAGTGTGCAAAGAAATCCAGTACCATTGATTTTTGATTAGAACTAGTTCTAAATCTGACAATAGTTTTTAGGTTTGTGTGTTCCTCACAATCACTCTGCTCCTAGCAAAATCTGATTTCATGAATTAGGTTCACATGTCCAGCCCTTTTCACTCCCTATCGCCATCCCCCAGCACTTGATATGTTCCACAGTCTGTTTATTCTACGTAGTGCTTAACAGAGAGACAACCTGTTATTCTACATTTTTGGTAAGTGTAAAAGTGGAAATACAGCAATAAATTTTCCACCACAGATTGAAGAGGTGAATACCCAGATGCCAAGCAGCTATTTGTGCAGCACTAAATTGTGGGTAAAGTAAGTCTAGAAATACCTTTCCTAGCAGGAAAGATGACTTTTATTTATGCAATTTAAAATCATAAACACAACCAACCTTATTCACAAATAGGAACAAACTGTTTTTCTTAGTTCTTTTTTTTTGCCAGTCCTGTGGGTTGAACTTAGGGCCTGGACACTATCCCTGAGCCTCTCTGTGCTTAAGGCTAGTTCTGTGCCACTTGAGTCACAGCACCACTTCTGCCTTTTTCTGTTTATCTAGTACTGAGGAATCAAACCCAGGGCTTCAGGCATGCTAGGCAAGCACTCTACCACTAAGCCACATTTTCAGTCTTTCTCTTAGTTCTTATTAGCATTCTGTTATTATTTTGTTCTACTAATTAAGTTTTTTTTGTAAGTAATAAAAAATGAGGAGGAAACTTTTAAGAAAATCCCGTTCACTGAGTTTTTATTGTTTGTTGATAACATACCTGTATGTAAGACTTGAAACAAATATCGTCAGTTGAGTATATTCAAGGGAAAGGAGAAAGATCAGAAAAAGGTCACAAAAAGATGACTTAGGTACAAAAGAGAAGGAAAGAGTTTTGGGAGTGCGTGTTAAATAGAGTTGATGCTTAGGTAGATGACAATTTGCCTTAGTACACGCGTGTTTACAAGTGACATATCCTGGAGCCTGTGGACTCATTTGAAAAGCTTCATTTGAAAGAGCTGGAGGGGAAAGCCAGATAGGAACTAGTGTAGTAAACTATTGAGTACTGACTACATACAGTGTCAGATCCCACCAGTTGGTGTCCAAGCTGGGTAGTCTTCAGTTTCCTTCTGTGTGATCTGTCTTTGAGACTTGGTGTGGTTGAAACACTGCCTGAGTAGGATCTTTGGAATTTCAGGAGTTAAAAATGAAAGATTGCCAGTTTCTGGTGTCTCATGACTGTAATCCTAGCTACTCAGGAGGCTGAAATCTGAGGATCATGGTTAGAAGCCAGCCCAGGCAGGAAAATCCATGAGATTGTTATCTCCCGCTACGAGCAAATCAGAAGTGTTTCTGTGGCTTAAAGTTGTAGAGCCCCAGTTTTGAGCAAAAAGAAAGAGCTCAAGGACAGTGCCTAGGCTCTGAGTTCAAGCCCCATGGCTGACAATAAAAAATAAAAAAAAAATTTCAGGAGTTTAGATGAAAGTATTCCATTTAGAATACGTATGGGATGGGATGGAAATTGAGCCCAGGGTCTTCTTGTGGGTATGCCTTGAAATCACAATGCTGCTGCTGCTTTTTTTTTTTTTGTTGTTTTTGGTGTACTGGTTAACGAGTCTCTTGGATTTGTCTACCCAGACTGGCTATGAAACATGATCCTTAGACCTCAGTCTCCTGAGTAGTTTGGATTATAAAATGTATGAGCCACTGGTGCCTACAGACATCTGGCACAAATGCTTTTAACCAGCCTTTTGATAGTTTTTGATTCTTATTGTCCAGTTCATGCTTGAATTCAGCTTTTCATCTGCACCCCCCCCACCTCCTTCAGTTGGGTGTGGGGCTTGAACACTGGGCCTCGATGCTGTCCCTGAGCTTTTCAGTTCAAGGCCAGTGCTCTACCACTTGAGCCACAGTGTCACTTGCGGTTTTCTGGTGGTTAATTAGAGATCAGAGTCTCATGGACTTTCCTGCCTGGGCTGGCTTTGGACCTCAGATCTCAGCCTCCTTATTTTTTCATGTGTTTTTAAGATTTGACTTTTTTTTTTGGTCTAGTCGTGGGGCCTGAACTCTGGGCCTGGGCACTGTCCCTCAGCTCTTCAGCTCAAGGCTAGCACTCTACCACTTGAGCCACAGCGCCACTTCCGGCTTTTTTCTTTTTATTTTATGTGGTGCTGAGGAATTGAACCCAGGGCCTCATGCTTGCAAGGCAAGCACTCTACCACTGAGCCACCTTCCCAGCCCCCCCCCCCTTTTTTTTTTAAGGTTTGTTACTTTAGTAAGTAAGCCAATGTAAGATACTGTATATTATGGTATTGGTTAACTTTTTTACTTGATGTTTAAATATTTGCTTTAGAATAAGCATTGCTGAGGCGATTACAGCTAGCTTGCTGTATAAGATTTTATTTGTTTTAGTGAGAATTTTGGGTAGTTTCCAGAATAGAGCACAGTTGTGTCTCAGGTCAAGCACATTTCTTTCATGGTTGTTGGAAGAATATGATTGTCCCATGGCCCCTAAATCACAGCCTTTGGCTCATCTGTGTGGTTTCTGTATCAATTTGTCCAATATAAACTAATTCTCATAGTGTTACTGTGTTTTGGTTTAATAGGGAAGAAATAGGGAAAGCAGCATATATTTTTCTTTCTCCTTTTTCTTTTCTTTGAAGGTAGGGTCTCACTATATATCCTAGTCCAAGCTAATCACCAACTGGTAAGTAACCCAGTAAGAGCTGGACACTTAACTGGTGATGTTTCGGCCTAACTCCTCGTATCTGTTCTACTACATCTGGACCATGTAGGTTTTTATTTTTTAAATGTTATTTGTGTTTCTATTCAGAATGAAAAAGAATCTTGTTATCTATCTTTTGGAGCTTACAAACATGCTACTGAGTAAGATCATACTAATCTTAAGCAGAGAAGTAACTTTAGCAAGTGATTTTGATTCACTGCTTGGGCCAGCTGCAGAAATCAGATCTTTTAAATACTTGCTCTAGTAGTCGTAGCCATTTGGCTTCAAATAAACAAACAAAATAACTTTGCTCTCTATTTTTGATGTTAGCTGGCATTCTGTAAACCTAGAACAAATCCACTGGAAAAATACAGAAGTAATTTTTTTTTATTGCTTTGGAACAGTAAAAAAAAATTACAGGAACAAAAAGAGGAAGGATATTAAGAAATACAAAAATCTAGGAGAAAATGTTCCATTAACATCCTCATTTTTTTTAAAGTTACAGTTCATTGCTCTAGACATTTGAGTAAATAAGTGCCAGTAAAGCTTAATAAGGAAAAGCTGTCCATGTCCTATTTCTGTCACAATATGCTAAACTTTTCAGTATGTTATTAACTAGATAAATGGTCAATGGAAAATCCATTTGACATAAAGGCACTTTTTTTTAGAACAACATTAAAGGGACCTCAGTTTTTTGATTGTCTTATTTTACCACTAACTAGTTGCCCCAAAGCTGCCATGAACTAGTTTATATCTTATTTCAAAATGAGTCCTAAATTTTATTTTATTTTATTTTTTTGGGTCTGGTCGTGGGGCCTGTACTCTGGGCCTAGGCGCTGTCCCTCAGCTCAAGGCTAGCGCTCTACCACTTGAGCCACAGCGCCACTTCCAGCTTTTTTCTTTTTGCTTATGTGGTGCTGAGGAATCGAACCCAGGGCCTCATGCATGCAAGGCAAGTGCTCTACCACTGAGCCACCTTCCCAACCCGAGTCCTAAATTTTAAAAGCTTTGATAGTACTTTGGAATTTGAATAGGAATTTTGTGAGATGAGGCAGTTATCTAAGTGTTGAATTTCCTAATTGCAGGGATAGCTACGTCACAATCATTTTGGAGCCTTGTCTCACACTCCATGAAGAGGGCAGGTCTCTGGCTGAGTTAGGGGTTATGGTGTGTGTGTGTGTGTGTGTGTGTGTGTGTGTGTGTGTGTGTGTGTGTGTGTGTGTGTGTGTGTGTGTGTGTGTGTGTGTGTGTGTGTGTGTGTGTGTGTGTGTGTGTGTGTGTGTGTGTGTGTTTATGGTGTGTGTGTGTGTGTGTGTGTGTGTGTGTGTGTGTGTTTAGGAGAAACAAAGGTTTATTATTATTGACTGGAACAGCTAGGTCTTAGATAATCCAGATGACCCTTGCAGAAGGCCATATGTCCTTATATCATAACTAGAGGCAGTTATGTTCAAGGAAGAGAGGGAACCATGCGTATGAATCTAGAGGACTGTGAGGACTGCCAAGATTTCTGGCTGGTAAATGAGGTAAAGTAATTTGACAAGACAGGGAAATAGGAGAAACAAAGGCTCATTAGGAAAGGGGAATAGATTTTTAATAGACTGAAAGTGAGTTCTTTTTAGGGTGAGAATGACTTGTTTACTGTGTTTCATTGTGTCTTTAGCCTTTCTCAAATATTGAAATAAGTTTCT